GTGGCTGCCTATAAGTTCATCACGGGGGCACAGAAGGGAATTGGTGAGGTTTTATTCACCAAGGCGCCCCTGGTGGTTACAAGAAATAATGGCCACAAGCTAGCAGAGAGCAGATTTAGACTAGACATTAGAAAGAACTTCTTCACAGTTCGAGTGGCCAAGGTCTGGAACTCTTTCCTGCCTATGCAGGGGGTCGGACTCAATGATCTATTGAGGTCCCTTCCGAACCTAGCATCTATGAACACTCGGTTTTTCAGAAACCAATTAAGAGCGCTAAGCAGGGATTGCCTGTACTGTAAGGCTTATAGAGTTGTTGGTTGTAGCCCTGTTGGTCTAAGAATACAGGTTCCTTAGACAAGGTTCTTTGGGTAAATGTGATATCTTTTATTAGACCAACTAAAAGTTATCCTTCTTCCAACTCCACACCCACCCCCTTAAAACACTTTTTAATGTAAAACCTTAAAAAAACCTTGACAAGACTGAGGCTACCAATGTGCTGCAATTGCTGCCCATCATATGGACATGTATCAACCTGTTCCATGTTATCCTTTCTGTGCATTCAGCCATTATCTTTTTTGCCTTATAAATTCATTGTTAGCTTTCTTGGGCAGAAGTAATCTTTATGTTTTCCATCTGTACAGCACTCAGCACAATGATGCCTTCACCTACAATTAGGGCCATGAGGTGCTATAATATTTAAAATGGGTTTGTCCTTTTTATTTGATTGTTAGTTTCTCTTGGATACAGAAAAGGAAATGCTGATGACGTCAACAACAGCGCTGAATAATGAAGTCTAACCTAAGTGGAACTACACATGTGAATAAGGATAATTATTGCCATAGTCAAGTTTATAAATAAGGATGATTATTCACATGAAGGAAAGACAACCCAAAAAAAACATTTTTGCAGAGAAGTACAAAGACTATAAACCTAGAGAGATTATCAGACAAAACATTACAATCCTAGTTTTGCAAGCCAAGTTTTACAGAGAAGCTCTTCCCTCTCTGTCACATCCCACTAGCACTAAGTGGGAAATGTAAGGAGAGGATGAACAAATTGGCTACAAATACCTGAAGTAAAACTGCAGCAGGGCCAAGCAGCATGTGTTGGAGGATTTAATGTTCTGTCCAGATTGCAGAAATACCAGTTTTTCACAATCCTACACTAGGAAAATTCTGGACTGCTGCTAGAACTATGCAAGGAGCAAAAGGGGTGAAAGGAGAAAGAAAAGGACTTTTCTTTTTCCTCTTACCTTCATCCAGATCATAATTCCTTCCAATACTCATCCCTCCACAGGACATGCCATTCTGCTAGGGAATGGTTGCACAATAAAAGTTAACAGTCCCTCTCGGCAAAACAGCACGGTGCTCAACATAGAGCCACTTCAGGGAACTGGACATCTTGTGGCTTCCCTCAGCACCGCCACATGCATTGGCAAGCTCCCCAGAATGGCATAACCTAGCTCTCGTTTTCCAAGAGTTCAGTAGTGGCAAAAAGCTACAGAGTGCACCTTTCCGGTGCCAGCCACAAGCTCATAACCACTACAAACTGTAACTAAACTTTTATAACCAAAGTTAGAAATCTTCAACAGGTAATGGAGCTAAGAGCAGGGGAAACTATTTCAGGAATTCCAAAGATGAAGCTGGAATGACAATCAGGACACAATGGGATTGGCAGTATAATAAGAACATAGGACTTGCTACACCAGATCAGACACTAGTAATTCGAATCTGAGGT